GTCATGTTTGTAGTCGACCAATGAAGATGAGTTTACATATCACCTTGGGTTCGTCCTTCACCTTCTCAAAATGATCCCACACTTTGGATTTCCTGCCCGACATGTTATTAACTAGCCTGTGGAATAACCGCAGGTACCAGCCCTGGAAATTAGGGGCCGCGTCTTTAAACGCCTGGAAAACATGAGGTTGGGCTCTGGGCGCTACTCTCGTGCCTTTTCTGTGCCAGCTTTCAAGAGCGTGGTGACAGATTGCGAAGCAACCTTAATAAACACCATATCATGGCCTATTTACCTGAAATCCTGAGAGCAGAGCTGATCTTCTTCCAGGAGCTGTTTATAAGTGTGTAGGCCTATCGTCCGTGGGACAGATGTAAACCTCTGGGCAGCCCTGCACGAACATGATCAACTTTTCCGTGTTTATCAGACTGAATATTAACAGAAGAAGGGAAAGATATCAGTCGGCTGTGTTTGGTTTGTAACCTGACTCCTGTCTGACTGCTGTGCGATGACACTTCCTGTGTCTGTACCTTTAAATTAAATTCTGACATGGTCCATAAAGGTTTGGATTTATTTAAACAAGGCGCGGCTCCTAATAGAGTTAACTTTTTTTTTCTGAGACTAAACGACCAGTGAAATCTTGCAGCTGCATTGAAGAAGACTCCGTTTTCTCACAGACTGCTGTATGCACTCAGACTTTTGTTTTGCAACCAGTGGAGTTGCCCCCTGCTGGCCATTGGGAAGAATGCAAGTTTAAGGCATATCTGCATTGGTTTAACTTTTCAGACCTGAAGGCTACGTTCACTTCTAAAGTCTAAAGTGCTAAAAACTGCAGTTGTTCTAATGTCCACTTGAGGCTGGCTCCAAGAGTGAGTCAATCTCCATAGACCCCCATGTTAACATGTGGAAATAAACATGTTTACAGCCTGGTACAAAAACCGTATTGGTCTTAATAACTAATTTCAACATTCATGACAACTGTACGGAGGTGAATTTTTGTATAACTCACCTGTTTATGTTTTCTTAAGGCTTAGAGTTCGTCTGCTGATAGTGCCCTCAGCTTCTCAGTCAGATACATCCCCCACTCGTTCAAAGCTCCTCCCTCCCTTCAGATATGGCCTTATCTGGTCCCAAAATATAAGATTACAACGGCCTAAATACTGAACTTGAAGCCTCAAAATGTCAGTCACAAAATAATAGGTGATGTCACTGTGGCTACGTCCACAATGACCATGCTCTCAGTGCAAGAACTTGACAAACTTGACGTTATGGTAACTACATCCATTATTTCATGCAGTCTGTGAGCTAACAGAGGACGAGTAAAATGTTGTTGCATGCTGTTACATAAAGACTTCATTTCATTGGGACTTCTTAGACCAAACCAGGAAAAACAGACTCTAATCAAAAGCAAATGTAAGAACAAGGGTGTCCACATACTTTTGGCCGTAAAGTACCTTTAAAGATGTCCAGTATCATTTAAATGCCTTGTAGCTGTAAATAGAACAACCACTTACTTGATCTTTCTTTTTTATTCACTGTATTGCTGCAGTTGTGGAAAGTATTTGCATAAAACAAGACTATGTGATGCGGACCATTCCTGTCAAGATGTATCCGTACCATGAGTCCCTGGGCTCCGCCCTGTACGGCAAAGAACGACCAACATGGAAGATGCCCGAGCCCTTCACAGAGAGCGTTCACCACGTTGTCTGGAAATTCCTCCTGATGAAGAAGCTGTTAAAAAGCATCAACGATCAGATGAGTCCGTTCTTCTGCAGCGTGGACTTGGATAACCCAGAGGTGAAACTCAGCCCTCTCCCGAGCTTTTTGAGGCAGAAAGGTCTGACCGCCAAACATGTCGATAATTGGATGAGTACCGCCCAAAAGGCCTTCCGTAAGCAAATGTCCCAGTACACAGCCTTTGAATGTCCAGCAAACGCACATGCATGGAAAGTTGCAGAAAAAGACGTCCGTTCTGTTATCAGGGAAAACGCCATCCCCGTTCTGGATGCATCCAGGGGGGTTTTGACCTTGGCTGGTGGAGCTGACGATATAAAACAAATCAAACTCCCTGTGGAGAACATTGTTCTTAAAGCCATGGATCAGATTAAACGGCAGACAGACAGTGTCTCTGAGATAATGAATATGTCCCCGACAATGTTCTACATCCTGCAGCAGGAGGGCTTCCAGAAAGCTGCCCAGGACATTTCTCCTGACATGAAACTCTCCTTTGATGAAGGAACCCAGAAATTAACCATTAGAGGACTCCCTGCAGAGGTTTTCCAGACCAAGGCATGGATCTTGGAGAAGACTGTGGGTATGAGTAAAAAGCAGCTGAATGTCCCCCCACATCTTCTAGACTTTCTCAAGACAGTGGATCCCATGGTGATGTCGCAGTGCCTGTTCACATCCCAAGGCATCAGTGCCATCTACAGCATTGAGAGCAAAGGGCTCTTCCTGTTGGGGAGTTCTGAAAGTGTTCTTGCTGCTGCTGAGAGTAAGATGAAGACCGCTTTAGCTGTGCAGACTCTGGATGTAGAAGACCAGGAAGTTCTGAAACTTCACAACTGGGTGAACCTGAAACAACAGCTGTTGGACACCTACAACTCTGCGAATAAGAGAACAGTGGCCATTCAGATCCACCCAGAGAGAAGAGACAAAGTAATGGTGGCCGGCTTCCAGGATCCAGTGAAAGAGGTCACCCGCAGTCTGAAGGAATTCATCGAGAACTACTCACGAGTTCAAGAAACCATTCGTGTCGAGTCCTGTGCTGTTGTTCAGTTCATTGGCAAGAAGAAAACAGAAGATTGGGACAGTATTGCCAAAGCTAATGATGTGGAAATCCGTTTTGACTCAGAGAGGCCAAAAATCATCCTGGCTGGGGCTCGTCTCCATGTCCAGAAAGCCAAAATCTGCTTTCAGGAGCTAACTGGTGCTCTGTTCACTGACACCTTCATCGTGGACAAGCCTGGAGCTAAGAAGTACTTTCAGACTCAAGGAAGCCTGTTCCTGTCTACAATAATGACAGAGTTCAGCTGTGTGGTATTGCTTCGTCCAGAGATTCAAGAGGAAGAGGAGGGAGAAGACTACGAGGAAGAAAATGGCCTTAGTTATTGCAAAGTGAAGACCACGAGTGGAGTTCTGGTTTCCGTCAGCAAGGCAGACATCTGTAGCTTCAAAGTGGATGCAGTGGTCAACGCAGCTAACGAGGAGTTAAAGCACATTGGTGGCCTGGCTTTTGCGTTGCTCAAGGCTGCAGGACCAGAGATGCAGAAAATCAGTGACAACCACGTTGCCAGGAATGGAAAACTACGTCCAGGTGATGCCATCGTAACAGGTGCATACAACCTGCCTTGCAAGCACGTTGTCCATGCAGTTGGTCCACGGTTCTCTGACTTTGACAGGAAGACATCAGTGTCGCATCTGAACCTCGCTGTTAAAAGAAGTCTGACACGAGCAGAGGAAGTGAACTGCTCAACCATCGCGCTGCCAGCGATCAGCTCAGGTGTGTTTGGTTTTCCTGTTGAACTCTGTGCTGAGACCATTGCTCAGGCTGTGCGGGAGTTCTGCGACAGTCCAGGGGGTCCGAGATCATTGACAGAGATTCACCTGGTGGACAACAATGATAAGACCGTGAGAGTCCTGGCCACAGCTGTCAACAAAGAGTTCATGGACCTTGGACCTTCAATGACACTACCACAGCCGACAGAAGAAAGAGGCACCGGGGCTTCAGGGTAAATCCAAAAAACATTTTTATCATAATGGACTTTTACTGTTGAAGGGAACATACTGTGGGGATTTGGAGGCGGGTGGATATTTAAAGGAATAGTTTAACATTAGAAGTGGTGGAAGTTATACGCAGGTTTAGGCCCTGATCACACAGACAGCGTTTTAGCAGCTGGAGGTGACTTTTTGTAACAGTTTCTAAGTTTTTGCTCACAGTTTTTGTGTTGATGTGCACCTCATGTTTCTGTGCTCAAGGTGCCTGGCATTTTTGCCGGAGCACTCTGAACGTCAACTGAAAGCAGAAAAGCGCCCCACCTCATCTCTTCTTTCGTCATCCTTTTTTCCCATTGTCCAATTAGATGATGTGGGAGGCAGGCCTTCTGTGGTGGTCACGACAACAAATTTACAGTTGATAACCAATGGAGGAGAAACTGGTGGTAGTGGTTGCTGGATACCCAGAGCTATACGACTTCACAAAGCACAGTTAGCAGCATCTCAATAGAAAACAGCAGATAAGTGCAGTACTGTAAACGTCCATGATGGAGGAGAAGCTCCTGGACCAACTGGTGGTACTCCCCATGATCCAGCCTCTTTTTTAGGGTCTCATGTACCCACACAGATCTCTGTTTATCTGCTGACAGCCTCTCACCCTCAACCAGAGCTACAGACAGCACCCTCTGCCTCAACATGGCAGCAACTACACACTGATTACAGGGGAAGGTTAGGGTAAAGAGGTGATGGGGTGGTTGCCTGGCAACAATCAAAAAAGCACAGCAAGCGTTTTTTTTTTCCACTAGTGGCATTTAAAAAAAAAAGGCAGCATGCTTTCTGTGTGATCGGGGCCTATGAGGTTTAAATCACACAGACTTGTATGAATGTTTAAACTCTACTGTTCACTTCCCAGTGGGCATCAGTGGGGTCGAGGTCAGAGCCAGTTGCCCAGGGGCCGTCGCTTTAGTGAAAGAGGAGGTGGAGGACGAGGACGAGGTCTGCAAGGTAACAGCGGAGGTCACAGCCTCAGGGGACACGCCCGGTCCGGAGGGCACGGAGGGTAAGGTTGTTCTCTTTGTCTTTCATTTCTCTTCTTCTGTCTTCTTGATTTTATTTTTGTTCTTAAAAAAAGTATTGAGGACATTATTTAAGATGTTTTTAGTACCTGGTCCATCACAGGGTCATTAACAAGTCAAGACCAGGGTTAATGCTTCAAAATAAAAGCACCAAAATGTGAAATGAAGAACACATGCTATGCAGCTCAGGAAGTCTGCAGACGCTACGATTTCTGTCTTTTGAGTAACAAAAACAAACTTTGGACACAGTAATGGTGACTCACTGTGATGACATCAGTCCTGTTCTCTGATTGGCTGCAGGTCGGGGAGGTTGGAGCAGACCACAGCTGAGGGTCTGAAGATTGTTCTCTTGAAGGGAAACATCCAGGACCAGACTGTGAGTCCTGACCCTGTGATGCACAAACTATTAATGTGTGTGTGCCACCTGTTGATGACATGGAGGCGGTTTAGATAAAAATATCCACTAGATGGCAGTAAAGTTCCTGTGATTGAAACTAACCCTGGTTTAAAGAGCGATTCCAGTCGTTAAACATGGATTTTATTTTTGAGGTTTTGTCCATTATTTCTATCAGCTATGATAATCTTGTTCTCATCAAAGTAACTGCTGAAGTATCTGAAGTCTGTGAACACAAAGACATCACTGAAATTAAGTCAGACGGGTAAGGAACAGATCAGACACACTGGAAACACACCACAAGAACTCTGTAGACGAGCATCCGCTCCCTATGTAGATATAAACAGCTCATAACCTACTTATTATATTATATTATATTATATTTCATTTCTGATACTATGTCCTCCTAAATCCGATACACTGGAGCTTCTATAGGAATAACATCTTAATTTTCTGATCCTTCAGTTGTTGTCCTAACTTTGTGTACGATGCTGTGTTTTTGGCCCACAGACTGACGTCATCGTCAACACCATCTCAGAGGACATGAACCTGAACCAGGGAGCTGTGTCCAAAGCGATCCTGCAGGCGGCCGGGCCCAGCCTGCAGTCAGCTGTCCGGTCTGAAGCCGGCTCGTCCCCGTTGCCGTACGGCGACGTCGTCGTCACAGATGGGTTTAACCTTAAGTGTCGTAAAGTCTTTCACACTGTTTGCCCATATTGGAACAACGGAGCCGGCCAGGCGGAGGAGGTGAGGGGTTTTATTTTATTGATATGTTTACACGTATTTATTTTAACAGGGTGTTTATTGTGAAAACTGAAAAACTAGACGTGTATCTGGGGCATGTCTGAACATGTGGCACGTCTGTTGGAATCACAAGCACTGTCTAGACTGGGTGCAGTGACATCGCAGGTGGAACAGAGTGCAGCCAAGTCTGTGAGGTCAAAGAGTTTGTGAGATGAATGCGATAGGTTATCATCATTCATCCATTTCCTCTGCACTCAAAGAAACTCTTGGACCAGAAACTTAAACCAGTCAAATGCCATTTCTTCACAGACATAATTAAATCTGAGCAAGAACATTTTTCTGGAGCTTCAGCAGCAGCGTTTGCTGCTACATCAGCTCCTCCATCACCTTTAGATCTGGATCCTCAGCTATCGTGTGCCTTACATTTACTTTTTTTTTGTTTTTTCTTTTTTTTTTTTTTGCCTTACATTTACAAACAGTTACTTCCTGTGGGAGTAGAGTAGAATGTAGGAGATTAGATACCAAAACCAACATGTAGTCTGTACATCAAAAGCCTCGTTTCCACCAAGCAGGATGGTTCATTTCAGTTCGGTTCAGTGTAGGCCAAGATAGAAGAATTGAATTGACCTTGCCGACTGCCAGCAGCTAAACGGCAACTTTTATGGTGGAATGTTTTTTTGCATGTTATTCAATGTACAAGCTGACAACATGAATCCATCAACACACCTTAAATTTCAATATGACAACTGTGACCATCCCGTTTGTTTTTATTGTCTCTCTTGAATGACAGACACTTTTGTTATGATTGAATCTTCAAGCACTTTACATATATATAAATTAATTTCCACCACTTTAAGTAAACTGCAAATATTCTCTTGTACTGAAAAGTTCACAGGCTGACCATGATGCAGTGGTCAGATTTGACCAAATGTGGTTTATTTTTCAGCATAGTCTCCCCTGTGGTCTACACACTTCTTCCATCTGTGTTGCAGCGATTGGATCCCCTTGGTATAGATGCTCTCACTCTGATGGTCAAAAAAGTCCTCAGCAGCAGATATGACCTCATCATCAGTCTGATACTGCTTCCCAGCCAAGTGTTTTCTCATGTTGGGGAACAGAAAATAGTCAGATGGTGCTAAACCAGGTGAATATGAAGGATGATCAACCAGTTCAAAGCCACAGTCATGCACAGCAGCCATTGCAACCACAGACTTGTGTGCTGGAGCATTGTCCTGATGAAACAAGACCCCCTTGGTCAGTCTTCCTGGCTATTTTGTCTTGATCACCTTTCGCAGCTGCCTCAGCAAGTTAGCATGTTGTTTGGCCCCTCAGAAGGTAGCCAATAAACACAATGCCTTTTACATCCCAGAAAACTGAAGCCATCACCTTCCCTGCTGATGACACCACCATGGCCTACTTTGGAGGGGGTGAAGAGGGGGGTTTCCACTGCATGGACTGCCTTTTTGTCTTTGGATCGAAGTGGTGGACCCAACACTCATCCTGGGTTCAGAAACATTCAAGAAAACCAGCTGGATCTGCTTCCAAACGTGTCAAGTTATCCTGAGACATGACCAGCCTGGTGTGCTTTTGATCAGGGGTCAAAAGCCGTGGCGCCCACCGAGCGGAAACCTTCAACATGCCAAGTTCATTGTGCAGAATGTTCTCTCCTCTTACAGCGTTAGCTATCTGATTAACAATCAAACCTCTGTCACCCATCACCATGTGGTGAACACGATCAATGTTTTCTTGGGTAGTAGCTGTGGCAGGATGTCCGGACCTTGGGTCATCTTCAAGGCTCTCCCTACACCTCTTGAATTCAGCTGCCCACTTTTACACAGTTAATAAAGCTGGAGCATCGTCCCCTAATGTAGCAACCATGTCAGCATGAATGTCCTTTGGGGCTAACCCCTTTTTCTGCAGATCTTTGATAACACCACAATTCCAAATTTTGTCCATGTTCATAAAATTTCTGTCGTACTAATTTTCAGTCCTCGATTAGCTGTCAAATGTGGGTTTAACTAGAATTATTGTTTATTGTTTATTTAATTGGATCCCCATTAGCCTCCACCTCAGCGGTTGCTAATCTTCATGGGGTCCACCACAAAAATCAAATCATTACAAACACTAATATAAAAACATGTCAATTATACAGACACTGACTGACACCTTGTCAGTCTAGACAAAGTTTAACTAGAAGGAAACAATGCAGTTAGTGTCAGGGAGGGTGGAATTTAATGCCTGCCAAGTTTCATTGCTCTGACATTACTCCTTCTTAGTCAGCCTATGAACCTTTCAGCCCACCCTTGTATCTCAAAAACAGCTTCAGGAAATTTCTCTAAATTTGGCACAAACATTCACATGAACTCAATGATGAACTGGTGGATTGTGGTGGTCAAGTTTAAAGGTCAAGGTCACCTTGACCTTGTCTGTCTCATTCTCGTGGCTATCTCAAGAACACCTAAATTGAATTTTTAAAAGTTTGACACAAACATCCACTTTGACTGAAGAATAAACTGAGTAGAATTTTGTTGTCAAAGTTCAAAGGTCAAGGTCAGTGTGACCTCATTAAAATGTTTTTGGCCATAGCTCAAAAATCCAAACGCTAATTGTGAAAAAACTTCACACAAATGTCTAATAATTATTTAACTGACCCCTTATTTATTTCTGACTTCATACCGCTGACTGTTTGCACCAGCAGCCTCTCTAATCTCAGTGTCACCTGCTCTCTGTGCCGTCTCCGTATCTCAGGAGTTATTGTCCATCATCAGTTACTGTCTAGAGGAGGCTGAGAAATGTCAGATGGCGTCGCTGTCCTTCCCGGCCCTTGGCACCGGAAACCTGGGCTTCCCCAAAGACCTGGTGTCCAGATTCCTGCTGCAGGAGATCCACTCATTCAGCCGCAGACTGAATCCTCGCCATCTGAGAGAGGTGGCCATCGTCGTTCACCCGAGTGACAGCCAAACTGTGGATGTGAGTTTTTATGTCTCTGTGGACGGCATGTTTAAGTGCTCGCCACGTTCTGATGGTGACAGCAAAGAGTTAATAAAGAGTTAATAAACTAAATGTTATGTTCAGTAATTTAAATGTTACGTTCAATAAACTAGATATCACGAGTAAAAAAGTACATTACGTTTAAAAAACATTACATCCAATAAACTACATGTAACGTCATCAAGTACATCACATTTAATAAACTAAATGTTACGTTCAATAAACTAAATGTTACATGTAATAAACTACGTGTTACAAGTAATAAAGTACATTACATTAAAAAAAATTACATCCAATAAACTATGTTACATTTAACAAATTGAACGTTACATGTAATAAACTAAATGATAAGATTTATTCTGGTGCATCCATTTTGATGTATTTATGTAATTAACAACATGCTGTCCGTCAGTGTTTCAGCAGGGCGTTCAGAGGTCAGACTGTTCAGAGAAACATCCAACATGAAGCTCAGGGATTCAACGACTCACCAGTTAGACGTTCACCTCGCCACTCCGCCTCTCCACCACAGCAGTCCTCAGGTAAGAAACACCAAAAACCTTTTATTAAACCTCCAGTGTTGGATTTGGGGGAAAATACTGTCAGAAACGGAATATGATAAAATATGTACGTTTTCTGTAGTGAAAGTTTATTTATTTTAAGTCTTCAAATCCGTCTCAAAGCAGTGTTGGCAGTTCTGTCTTTAACTCTAGATCTGATCACGAATATATTTTTATTACAGCCAATAATTAGCATTTATATATTTTGCTAAAGCTAAGTTGTGTGTGTGTGTGTGTGTGTGTGTGTCTCAGCCTCCTTCAGTCAGGTGTCGTCCCCCTCCCTCGGTGTGTATCAGATGAAGATGGGTCAGCTCACCCTCGAGGTGTCATCTGGAGACATCACCAAGGAGGCCTGTGATGTCATAATCAACTCCTCCAATCAGGACTTTACCCTTAAATCAGGTGACTCTTTTTTTCTCCTCACCATCATTCTGTTTTTCTCACTGAGCGATCCTCACAAGACTGTCCTGTTTTTTTTTTTTTTTTAATGTTTAAGTTCTCAGAGCACGTGATAGCCCCAGCAGGGGGCGCTATGTTCATCCGTCTTATTCTCGATATCTCAAGTACGCATTGAAGTAATTTCTTCAAATTTGACACAAACGTCCAGGTGGACTCAAGAACGAACTGATGATAATTTTGTTGTGGAAGGTCGATGTGACTTTGCATCCATTTCATTTTGTGAAGGCATCTGTCATCAGTATTTAAACTGCCAAAGAAAGGAAACAGAAACACATCTGTATTTTACATTCTAACTTTACATGTTCCATAAATAAACAACCCTCTTAAATTCTAATTTTCTTCTCTTAATCTAAAAAAATGAATACTGACAAGAAGGTTTTTTTGTTGACAACTTGAAAAAGTATTTCCAATGTTTTTAAATACACAATGTCCAGATGCTATAAACAGGTGATTAGTAAATTCACAATAATCAGCTTTATGTATTATTCTGAGGGCTCTTTTCTGAAGTTTAATTATAGAGTCTATATGTGTTTTATAAACAATTCCCCAAATCTCAGCACGGTAGGAGCGCAGCGGTGCCTGGACAGCGTGACGTGTGTGGTTGTGCTGCTGCCGTGGTCCTGCCAGATGCCTCCTGCTGCTGCTGCCATCATTAGTCATTAGTCATACTTCTACTGTTATTATACACATATGACTATTGTCACACATGTATACTGCCAGATATTAATACATACTTTCAACATATTGTACCACAGTAGCCAGAACTATAACTATAATATTATTACTTTCAATAATGTTGTTGTAAGCTACTGTCATTATCGTCTGTCCTGCATCTCTCTCTCTCTCTCTCTCTCTCTCTGTCTCATTGTGTCATACGGATTACTGTTAATTTATTATGCTGATCTGTTCTGTGCGACATCTATTGCACGTCTGTCCGTCCTGGAAGAGGGATCCCTCCTCAGTTGCTCTTAAAGGGTTTTTTGGGGAGTTTTTCCTGATCAGCTGTGAGGGTCCAAAGGACAGAGGGATGTCGTATGCTGTAAAGCCCTGTGAGGCAAATTGTGATTTGTGATATTGGGCTTTATAAATAAAATTGAATTGAATAGGACATATATGAAATTAAAAGTAAACAATACAATGTATACAAACATTTCTCATTCATCAACTACACTGTTGTATAACAGCAATAGATGTGGATAATTTCAGTTTAATATGTTCTATGTGTGGCTTCCAACACTTTGTGATCTATAATCACACCCAAAGATTTTATTTCATATACTCTTTTAATCTCAACACCATTTAAGTTCAGTTTTATTTCACAATTAGCCCTGATGCCACCGAACACCATAAATTTTGTTTTATTTTTATTTAGTGAGAACTTATTTACAGCAAACAGTTTTTTCAACATGATCAGTTCCCTTTCTTCTGTTTATAATAACTCTTTCACCTGAATAAAATAAATGTGTTTCATCAGCAAATGTTACAAATTTCAACACATTAGATATCGTACAAATATAATTTAAATAAAGTATATATAACTGAGGTCCCAATACTGAACCTTGTGGAACACCACAGGTTACTCTTCGTAGATGTGATTCAGTATTGTTGATTGTTACAAACTGATATCTGTTATTTAAATAACTGCCTAACCAAAGGAGTGCGACACCTCTTAGACCACAGCATTCACATTTCTGAAGAGAGAGGGAATGATCAATTTACGCTTTATGTACATCAGTAAATACACCTACAGGGCGATCCACCGGGCGCCATTAAACTACAACGTCAAGCAGCTGCGTATCATACCAAAGTTACAGGACGGCTTTTTTTTGTTGGTTTCTGATGCTGCAAGTCACTGCCCAAACGTCAGATTTCGATAACCTCAGAGTCAGACCAGGCTCGGTGGGGTGTCGGGTGGTTGGAGAACAGACCCTTTGGCACAGTCCTGTTGTCTTCCTGTGGAACTGTCAAAGACGTCCACATTGTGACATGTTTGCCCTCTAGACGCCATGCTGCAGTTGCTCTTCTTCTTCTCTGTGTTTATTGGTGGCTTGCAAACCAAGTTTAAAGGTACATGTGCCACCACCCACTGTGTTGGGTGTGAAGACACTGCCCTCGTTAAGTCAGTGAAAGCAGTTTGGATTTGTATTATTGTTGCTAATTATTGGCTGTAATTTTAATTATTGGGATACAGTAATGTATAGTTATAAAAATGTTCCAATGTCGGCTGACAGTTTATCGGCACGCTATATATCGTGCATCCCTAATTTAATTAAACAATAGATTTGTGTTTCTTTTTGTGGTTCATATATCCTCTCTGACTCACAGCAGAGTCATTTATTGGCCTCTTGTCTTTTAATTTCTCAGGAGTGTCAAAGGCGATCTTAGACAGTGCTGGGTTAACAGTTCAGCTGGAGTGCTCACAGATTGGTACGTAGCTGCAGCTTCACCTTGATTCATCCACTCACTTCATGCTCTTTTCTTCAGTGTCACCTTTCAACCATTCATCCGTTACTTTACAAATGATTATTCTCCCCTTGCTGACAATCCTCTCTGTAGTGAGTTCTCCGAATTACCAGCCTAGCCAGTTCATCATGACGTCGGGCGGCCTGCTGCCCAGCAGACACATCATCCACGTTGTCGGCCGGAACGATCCTGCAAAGATTAAGGACATCGTTTACTCTTTGTTGAAGTATTGTGAAGAGAACAAGTTTAAATCGGTCTCCTTCCCAGCGCTTGGAACAGGTCTGCACAAACACAATCTATATACTTTACATTACAATCACATTCTGATTATTTAAGCTTTGTTTATTCTTTACTGTGAAAGCTCTCCTCGTGCAGGGACTGACACTCAGTCTGACTTCTCTCAAATGTTTCCTCTTTCGTGTTTCCTCGTTTTTTGTTTGTCATTTCTGTCATTTCACTGGTTCCCTGTGCAGTCAGTCATGTTGATGGGATAAACTGTGAAACATTGATTTCTCTGGTGTTATTTACTCATCTGGCTGTTAGAGCAGACAGGTGAGGCATGTGATGTGATGTGATGCGCAGGTACAGTAGGTTCTGTCTGTACAGAGTTTGTGTCACATCCACCATCAGATGTTAAAATTCATCAGCCTTTAACGTCGGCCTCAGCAGACCTGAGCATGTTAGTGGAGCCCAGTTTGATTCAGCAGCAGAGTATTAAATACAGACTACTGGAAGTAAAAGTATTGAAATGGACGGCTGATGATTAAAAGATGATGCATGCATTTCCAATCCAATCCACTTCATTTATATAGCACATTTTACAAATGGAGGTTTCCAAAGTGCTGCACAGAAACAGAAATAAAATACTAAAAACAGTAATATAATCAAATAAGAGCAATAAATTTAAAACAAAAAATAAAAAAAATTCAAGTCTCATACAACTTTATAGATCTTTATATAATTTCTATACTATGACTTTTTTTTGTGATACTGTCCGAGGACGTTTTGTCATAATTTTGTTCATGATTTCGGACGACATACTAAACTATGACTTTTTTTCATGATTCGGGACGACATACTATACTATGACTTTTTTCACGGTTTTAGACGACATACTATACTATGACTTTTTTTCCTATGACTTTTTTTCATGATTTTGGACGACATGCTATACCATGACTTTTTTTCATGATTTTGGATGACATACTATACTATGACTTTTTTTCTATGACTTTTTTTCATGATTTTGGACGACATGCTATACCATGACTTTTTTTCATGATTTTACTGTCCGAGGACGTTTTGTCATAATTTTTTTCATGATTTCGGACGACATACTAAACTATGACTTTTTTTCATGATTTGGGACGACATACTATACTATGACTTTTTTCACGGTTTTAGACGACATACTATACTATGACTTTTTTTCATGATTTTGGACGACATGCTATACTATGACTTTTTTTCTATCGCTTTTTTTCATGATTTTGGACGACATACTATACCATGACTTTTTTTCATGATTTTGGATGACATACTATACTATGACTTTTTTTTCATGATTTGGGACGACATACTATACTATGACTTTTTTCACGGTTTTAGACGACATACTATACTATGACTTTTTTTTCCTATGACTTTTTTTCATGATTTTGGACGACATGCTATACCATGACTTTTTTTCATGATTTTGGACGACAGACTATACTATCACTTTTTTTCATGATTTTGGACGACATGCTATACCATGACTTTTTTTCATGATTTTGGACGACATACTATACTATCACTTTTTTTCATGATTTGGGACGACATACTATACTATGACTTTTTTTCATGATTTTGGACGACAGACTATACTATGACTTTTTTTCATGATTTTGAACGACATGCTATACTATGACTTTTTTACATGGTTTTGGACGACATACTATACTATGACTTTTTTTCATGATTTTGGATGACATACTATACTATGACTTTTTTTCATGATTTGGGACGACAGACTATACTATGACTTTTTTTCATGATTTTGGATGACATACTATACTATGACTTTTTT